CGCATGCATATGGCATCGGTGTCGATACATATAGCGATCCAATCCACGCATACAGAAATGCTATTTCCACACTCCCTCTTGGATTGGAATCGCGGTACAAAGACCTTCGGTCTTTTCTTTCCCTTTTTTTTTACTAGGCCTCAGACTGATCATCAAGATCTGTCAAGCCGAAGTCGATTCTCATGTCATAGCTTCGTCCCTGGCTCACTGCATCCATCGCAGTGGTCCAAAGCTCTCTTACCAATTGTTCACCTCACGAAGGTTCGCACAAAGCCAGTGGTCTCAACCTTGCGCTCATCATACTTGATCCTCTTCAAGAACCTGGCAAAATCTGGTGCCTGGGTCTTTGCCTTTGAATCACCATACTTCCGCATGATGAAAAGACAATAGCGGCCCGCATCCTGGTCACCATTGATTGCCTTGAGGATCAAGCCATCTGCGCTTCCTGCGATCAGCTCGAACTCTTCGTTCTCTTCAGAATCCTGCTGAGTCACACCTTGGGAGCGCCTCTTGCTACCATCCGACATGGTGCCTGCCGAGACTTGCACCATCTCTTTACCACTTGCCTTTGCCAGGAGCCGCTGTAGCTCACGCTGCTCATGGTCTGACAAGGCCATGGCGTCACTCAACTGTCGAGGGTGCTTGGAAACTTAGTTTACTCAAGCAAGAAGGTCCGTCGAAGACCGAAACGTCCGATCCCAGCAAAAAAAAACATCTCACCACACAGTCATCCAAAGTGTGATGTGTGTAAGTGCATGTTAGTGTGTCTTTGACAAACCATTCCTGTGCTCCGTGCTTCCCATGCTTTAAGCAAAGCGAAAGTCACCAAAAAATCTGCCTTCAACGACCCTTCCTATCTCAAAGAGCTCGTGACGACAACATGTAGAGACAAAACTGAAGACTTTCCCAAAGCAGTCTTGATTTTTTTTCACTGCGATTTGGTGTTTCGTGCTTCAAGGCTTCTCTTTAAGCGCACAATGAGGAAGATTCTAAGGTCACTGCCGTTCCTTCGGAAAGACATGCAAACCAAAAACATGTGAAACATTTTCTTTCTCTCACGGGTCTCGCCGTGCGTCCTTCACAGCGTTCAAGATCGCTCGTGCCAAGGTCGGTGTATACAGCGCTGTGCGATGAAAATTTATCTCACTCATTGCCGAATGTTCATGACATGAACAGCTCCCAAAACGGGTCCTGAGAGACTTACAGAATCCAGCCGAAGACGAGACAAACCTGAGTCGTTTCCCGATAGGAATTCCCCGCGGATTACACAGTCTGGTCTGGCACAAGTGTACAACGCACTCATGAACAAGTCCATGATTTTCCAATGTGCTCAACGTTAATTCCCTTTTCCAAATTCTGTTTGTCTTGGGAAGTTCAAAGCTCTTGCTGTCTCCAAGGTTCAAATAAGGTCCTACAGATCTCATGATTCGGGCCCACTCTTCTTCCAATTGCGCTGTTCGTTCCTCTGAGTCTTCTGCGTGAAAATTGAGTAAAGGAGATCCTGTTTTGCACGGTGTTGACACATGCACATGGACCCATTTTCCCAATCTTGCTTGTTCTTCTACGATCGCGTTCGTCTTCCGCAACGTGCTTTTGTATTCCATACCAGAAGAAATACCAACATAACGAATGTTCGATCGCACACAAGCTCTACAAATGTTTGAATCCGGGCTACAACACACTTCAACAATGAGGTATTCTGTATTGTTGCTCCCACAGGAATACATACTAAACATGACTGCCAGTTCCTCAAGAGGTCCTTCAAGCGGTGCCAACCCCAATGTCAGTCGATGTCTCATGAAATCCTGTGCGCTCAAACATTTTGTGAACAAGTCAGCAACGTTCTGCAAACCTGGTCGGTGCCTCAAGATGACTTCACCTGTCTCAAGTTTTGACCTCAACCATAGGAGTCGAATTTCTATGTGTCTTGAACGTTTAGGTATGTCAATCCCTTGTAGCAGCTGGATGGCGGATGCAGAATCAGTCTCAAGGACTATCGGAATGTTCTCTTGTTCACTTATCAACCCTATACCATGGAGAACGCGATGAAACAAGCGTACTAGCGCGATTGACTCCTGGGCGATTTGTTGAATGGCGTAAAGTTCCGACTCGCAACTTGAGAGTGATGTGGCTTGTTGTTGCTTTGCTGAGGACTTTACCAATCCATTGTCGAAGTACGTTACGCCACCTGTGATGCCGCGTCTACCGTTGAAACGATAGGGACCATGACTCGCGTCGCTGAAGCTATGTACCATGACCGAAAACTCCTCACGCCCATCGAAGTGAAGTGCTTCTTTGCTGTTGGATGGTAAACGAAGTGCTACATTTACATCGCTGACTAGGAAACGCAATAGGCTCCTAAGTGCTTGCTCCGTCCCATGCATTGGATGGGCTTGTTGTGTACCTATCAGAGATAAAAACAGCTTCAAATCATGACGAACTTGCGCTAGCCACAACAGTTTACCTAAGGCCTTGCGAAATTTGCGGTACGCTTCTGGCGACAAGGGTTGTTGAAAGGCGGGATTCGCCACCGTCTTTTCTAGGTGTGCAGCGATGTCCGGTACATTGGGCGATGCCTTGACCTCCTTCTTGAGCCCGTACTCCTCAAAGGTCGACAAAAGGTACTCGGGTCGAACCATGATGTACACTGCGCTCTCATAGGGATTGCGAATCAACTCCCTTCCAATAAATGTGGTCTTACCACCACCTTCACGCGAAGGAAGGATCAACCCAGTGGACTTCATTGGCACAATGTCTCCGATTGTTTTCATGACCACTTGTTCTACGTCTTCCGACGACGAGATCAAGAGCAAATCGTCCACGTACGCGAGAAGCATTGCCTCTCCGAGATGTTGGCCATTCTCATCCACGACTTCTCCTTGGTATACACACGGTTCGATCTCGTCTGACCATAGTCCCACTGAAGTGATCGTGTTGCCTAAGAGTCGTAGCCAGTGCAAGGATGCGTCTCGCAATCCATTTAGGGCTCTCTGTAGCCTTAAATAAGCGACGGAACCATCAAGGTGACTGATGCTCAAAGGCAGCTTCAAGATGACCAACTGGTTTTCCGGTAGTGGACTGTGCATGAACGCGTGCGCAATGTCCAGCGTCCGCAATCTGAAGTCTTTCAACCCTGCCAAACACAACAGCAAATGCATAC